AGGGGGAGAGAGAAAAAAAGAAAACCCTAAACAACCCATAAAAAATAGAATAAATGCATTTGGCAAGGTTGCAGGATACAAAGTCAATATAGAAAACCAATTGCATGTGTATATATTTTCTATGAAAAATCCAAAGATGAAATTAAGAAAACAATTCCACTTATAATAGTATCAAAAAGTATAAAATACTTAGAAATAAATTTAACAAAAGAATTACAAAATTTATACTCTGCAAACTACAAAGCATTGTTGAAAAAATTAAAGAAGATATAAATATATGGCAACGCATCCATGTCCAAGGATCAGAAGATGTAATATTGTTAAGATGGCAATACTTCCCAAATTAGTCTACAGATTCAATGCAATTCTTATCAGAATCCCAGCTGACTTCTTTGTAGAAATTTATAAGCTGATTCTAAAATTCATGTGCAATTACAAAGGACCCAGGATAGTCAAAACAATCTTGTAGAAGAAAAACAAAGTAAGAGGACTCATACATTCCAATTACAAAACAAACAGTGACCAAGACAGAGTGACACTGGCACAAGGCTAGGCATGTAGATCAATGAAATAGAATTGAGAATCTAGAAATAAAACCACATGTCTATGGTCAACTAATTTTTAACAAGTGTGCCAATATTATTCAGTGGGTAAAGAATAGTCTTTTATTTTTTTCTTTTCTTTTTTTTTTTTTTTTTTTTGAGACAGAGTCTCACTCTGTCACCCAGGCTAGGGGCTAGAGTGCAGTGGCATCATCGTAGCTCACTACAACCTCAAATTCCTGGGCTAATGTGATCCTCTTACCTCAGCCTCCCGAGTAGCTGGGACTACAGGTGTGTGCCACCTCACTGGCTAATTTTTCTATTTTTTTTTTTAGTAGAGACTGGGTTTCATTCTTGCTCAGGCAGGTCTTGAACTCCTAAACTAAAGCGACCCTCCCACCTCAGCCTCCCAGAGCGCTAGGATTACAGTGAGCCACTGCACCCAGTGTCTTTTCAATAAATGACGCTGGGATAACTGGATAGCCATATACAAAAATAACAAAGGTGGGCCCTTACCTCAGTCCACATATAAAAATTAACTTAAAATGGGTCAAAGAGTTAAATGTAAGAGCTAAAACTGTAAAACCTTTAAAAGAAAATAGGGGTAAATTCTCATCACACCAAATTTGGCAAAAGATTTTTATATATGACACCAAACCATGAGTAACAAAAAAAATAGATAATTTGGACTTAATAAAAATTAAAAACTTTTGTGTTTCAGAGGACACAATCAAGAAAGTAAACAGATGACCCACAGAATGGGAGAAAATATTTTCAAATCATACACCTGATAAGGGACTTGTATACGGAATACATGAATAACACTTACGACTCAGTAAGAGGACAAAAAAATCCAAATTTAAAAATGAGAAAAATATGTGAATAGACATTTCTCCAAGAAAGATATATAAATAACCAATAAGCACAGGAAAACATGTTTGACATCATTAACATCAGGGAAATTCAAATCAAAATCACAGGGAGATATCTCTCCACACTCACTAGGGTGGCTAGATTTGCTAAGTCAGACAATGATAAGTATTGGTGAAGATGTGGAAAAATCAAAACCCTACACACTGCTGGTGGGAATAAAATGGTGCAGCCATTTTAGAAACAGTCCAGCAATTCCTCAGATGATTAAACATAAAGTTTCATCATCCAGCAGTTCTACTCCTAGATATATACCTCACAGGAAAAATGAAAACATAAACCCACACAAAAACTTGTACATGAATATTTATAGCAGCAATATTCGTAATAGCCAAAAATGGAACCCAAATGTCAATCAACTGAGAAAGTATAAACAAAACCTTGTATAGCAATACAATGGAATATTATTCAGCCATAAAAGGGGAATGAAGTACTAATGCATGCTACAACATAGATGAACCTTGAAAACGTGGTGATGGTGGCATGTATCTGTGAATGTATCAAAAACCATTGAATTATCTTTGGTTGCATGAACTAACGGGTGAATTGCATTGGGAATTGCTGAATTGCACTGCAAATGAATGATGTTTCAATAAAGCTGTTTTTTAAGATAAATTATTGTTTCAAAACATTAGGCCAAAATGGATGAAAGATTACCAGGAGATATGATATCAAGTATATCAACTTACAACTATATTCATTAATTTTTTAAATAATGAATAAAGTTGATCCTTGGACAACATGGGTTTGAACTGTGCAGGTCCACTTATATGTGAATTCTCTTCTGTCTCTGCCACCCGTGAAACAGCAAAACCAACCTTTCTTATTCCTCCTCCTCAGCCTATTTGACATGAAGCAATGAGGATGAAGACCTTTATGATGATCCACTTCCACTTAATGGCTAGTAACTGTATTTTCTCTTCCTTATGATTTTCTTAATAACATTTTCTTTTCTCCAGCTTACTTTATTGTAAGAATACAGTTTATAATATGTGTAACATATAAAATATGTGTTAATTGACTGTTTATGTTACCAGTAAGGTTTCTAATCAGTAGTAGGCTATTGGTAGTTAAATTTGGGAGGAGTCAAAAATTACACACAAATTTTCGACTGCACCAGGGATCGAGTCCCCTAACCCCTACATTTTCCAAGGGTCAACTGTATACATATATAAAAGACAAGAATGAAATAAGCCAAAATGATGCATGTAGGTGGTACTCTTCAATTTTTTTCCACTTTTTCTACTTTACAGTACATATTATTACAGTGATATTTCAGTCAGGGTAAAAAAAGAAAAGCTAAAATAATCAGTCACAAATTTGTGGAAATATATGCAGGAAGAGGAGCTGAGGCCACATGCTTTGGGCTCCTAAAGGCCTCTGCCCTGAGGAATACTGGGTCCATTAAAGGAATCAGAGAGACACTAAATAATGAGATGGAAGAGCCAATTCATACTGTTGAAGGTTCATATTGTTCAACAATCTCCCTCCTCACCCCCTCAACTCAGCCCAGCCCAGTGTAAAATTATTCATCAATACATTGAAATGCAAAGAGAATTTGTCTCTGATTATATTTGAATTAACGAAAAGCTAAATTACAAAAGACACCTATCCCTGGAAAATCTGGGCTGTCATGTACAAACCTGGAAAACCCTGAGTTTAAAAATAAAAATAATAAAGGCACTGGCTACAGTGAAACTTTATTAAAGAACAGAACCCTGAAGCTTCAGAATCTGGAAACACAGATGTCATCAGACTTCACCTCACCCTGCAAAAAATTGAGGCCTCCAACTCCGTCGATTGTGCCAGCTGCAAAACTGTAGCCCAGTGCTGGTTTACATGTTTTTGCCTAAAGGAAAGGTTTTTAAAACAAAACAAAAACAAAAAAAGAAACAGAAGTTAAGCTGAAAATAATAATGAGATCGACCCAGAGTTTTACCCTCGCGACATAACCAGTGTGACTCAGTGACACTTACTGTGTGTGTGGAATTGAGCCAGACGGTCACATCCGTCATATTCACCCACTGGTGTGCCGACGCCAGTGGTCCGGTTACCTCCTGGGAGGCGGAGACATACAGCTCCTGGAAAGCACACGGGCTTACTGTTCCAAGCGAAAAAGGTGCCGTGAATAATACCAACTGTTCTCAATAAGTACCAATTTGGAAAAGCATCTCTTCACAAAGCTTTTGTTTCGCTGGCATGTTAGAAACAGCCGCCACCCAGGTGGGTCTCTCTACCAGCCCTGGTAGTTTCCCAGAAGCTTGACGTCTCCAACACTGCTGACCTGTATCTACTCCCCACAAAAAGAAAATTCTAGTGATACAGACTGTGGCACAAAAGGCCCCAGTCTCACCTGAAAGACCATCAAGATTAGGAATAGGTGGGCCAAATTACTTTCTTTGCCAGAATGAGAGTGTATTCTAGGGTGTTCTTATGGAGTCTTCTCTCAGAATCCTTCAGTTCTCCAACAGGACTGGCCCCTAAAAATCGGCCTGGGAAGACTTGAGACCCCATTTCATCTGCATCAGTTTCCCCGCCCACAATCCACCCTTTAGTGCTTTTGTTTTTGTTTTTTAATATAGTCAATTGACGCTTTTTCAATCTTTTGAGAAATGGGAGTCAAAACTTGTTTAGAAATGTTTGTTTTTATTGATGCGTATTATACAATAGGCAAATCCTGTTTCGGCACAAGTCGCCTTGCTTAGCACCTAGCTCATTTCTACTCTGTTGCCATCCTAATTTCAAAAGTCACATATGAGCGCTCAAGATAAATCATCAGCAACACCAGCTGCGGCCTGTCTCTCCTGATGAACAGGGAAGTTGTGCCTTGCTGAGAAGAGAATCCAGAATGTGGGACAAATCTCTATGGCTCCCATGCCCAGAAAGGGAACAAAATTTCTGACACTAAAGTGTGTCATGGGTGCACACTCTAAAGAGAATCTGTTAATTTAGAATAATCCACTGACAATGCCACAGTAATTAAAAAGAAACTGCAGCAATTAGGCTGGCTGCTGCTACCAATTTTGCATCTGATGTTTTTAAAGGGGCTTTTCTTCTTCCTTAATTGCTCCCAAAACATTTTAGAGCCCATGGGATAAATTATTTACTTAAACACACACACACACACACACACACACACACACACACACACACGCACACACGACAAAGGTATGAGTAAGCTATGGAAAGAAAAGGATTTAACTATGTTTATCAGGGACATCTCGGTTCAAAGTCATCTTTTGTCTTTCACTCGGAAATCTGTCTCCATAGAAGCCAAAACAAAATATGGGGACAAAATGGTAGAAAAATATAGCAGAGGGATGGGGTACAGTAACCTCACTGGAGAGGCTGAAGGAGATCCCCCCCTTTTTTAAAAAAGAAAAGAAAGACTAGGAACTAACTTGAATCTAAGTTGCAAGAACTGGGAGATGTGCCAGTTCAAAGCTTTGCCTTGTCACCAAAGGAAAAGTTAAGAAACACTCAGGTGACTTTTGGCAGGTAAAATCCTGAGAGACTTCTGAGAATTTGGTTCAGTCTGGTCATATCTGATGCCAATGTTAATTGAAAACTTTACAATCTACCTATCTGCCTGCTGTCTGAAGCAAGCGCTCTGGCTTTCTAAACATCCTAAAATAGAATGTTTTCTGATGACTTCGTTTTAGATGTACTTCCTGTAAGAAGTCAGACCCGAGCAGTCAGGGAGAGGTTCCCGTGTGTCTTTTGAAGGTGACCTTCAAAGCTGACCCTTCCAGACTCCCTGGAGCAGGCTGGGCTTTTACTGTTTTCCTTACAATTCTCAGCTTCCTAAATGAGCACTGTCGGTGGATCTTAAAGAGCAATGTCAAATGAAGATGAAAGGATGCGGCCCATGGCTTACCTTTGCTCTCTGATATATGGTCCGTCCTATAATTTGTGTGCTGTCAAGCATATCCTGTCCAGGTCCCATAGCCATACACATGCTAGGCTGGAACAAAATGAGACAAGGTGCATTCATAGTGAAATAAGCAATTATTTTAGGGAACGGAAAATCACATCTGAATCTACGCAAACAGATTTTTAAGCCACATTCTAGTGTTTCCTTTCAGATATTCTCTCAATGTATAGACTCGGATAAACAAAATCACACATGGAATTGGGCAGTGACTGTCTTTAGAAATGATCTATTCCAGCGCCTTTTAAAAATAAGGAAATTGAGGCTCAGAGGGGTTAAAGAGTTAGTTGGAAACTATACAGGTAGCTAATGTCTGAGCTAAGACTTGAAGCCAGGTCTTTTTTCCCATTGGCTGCACATCTTTCTACTCACTTCTTCTTGCCTATGGCTCTTGCTCATGCACCTTAAATTGCAACTCAGTTAAAATTATATTGGAGCAACTAGCTGGCCCTCTAAAAAAAAAAAAAAATCAATACACCTGGCCATATTTCCTACTTCTTACATCAGAAAAATTGAAGATTGATCAAACACTCAAATATTATAAACGGAATTTAAAAAGTACTAAGTGAAAATATGGGTGAATATATCTTATAGTCTAAGGGTGTGGAAGACCCTTATAAAA